TTTCGATCCTTACTGGGTGTCCCATGCTCATGGCCTTGTGTCCGACATTAAATACCTATTCTGAAGTTTCTTTGTTCTTAAATAAAGTGGTGGAATAAAGCAATGTTTTAAACTATTAGAGTCGATTTTAAAACAAACAGTTTCTCACATCAAACTTAAGTCGGAAAGTGTATTTCCGTAACACGTGACCACTAACAACTTCCGCTCACAGCCATGTTTATTTTTTTCATTAACTTTTCGCTTTCATTCATTACTTTAAAAATCAATCAGGTTTCACTTTCAGCTTTATTTTTCGCTTATTTGTTTTTTGCTTTGTTTTTTCTTAATTTTTTTTGTTTTTTGTTTTGTTTTCTCTTAATTTTTTGTTGTTGTTTATTTCTTTTCTTCGTGTGTGTGTGTGTGTGTGTGTGTGTGTTTTTAAATCAAATGGATTTTAAGTCCCGCCAGTCACACCCGTCTTCTCTCGGGAAATTGTTCTCGAAATCGATTTTAGAATAAGAAAGGAAAAGAAACCTGTATAAATGATAAAACAAAACCAGAGATTAAAAAAAAAGGATTAATTTGAAATTAAAAAAAAAACGCTCAAGTCACGTTCAGTTTTCGATACGAGACAAGACTATAACGTTTAATAGAGTGACAAAAACGGCATCGTAATTTAAAAAACATTAACAATTGCTTAAGGTCCTCTCTGGTCGTTAGTATTTCTATTGCGCTGGACAGCGTTCAAACCATAGTGAAGACGAAGATTTCGAATGCTGATTTTCATGGCAAGTAGAGTTTTTTTTTTTTTCTATTTATCAAAAATCAAACAGCAAATACTTTGCAGCATTTACAAGGCCATCTCCATTATTTGCGTATTTCTCCCCCAGGCTAAATGTTGGTGGCAGGAAGGAGAGAAAAAAAACAACTTTTCGAATACTGATTTTCAAGGTAGTTACGTCTTCCTGATTCATGTGTTTGACGCAACACAACTTTGTATACCATTTTTCCATTGGGAAACATTCAGTTAAGCTTAGTAAATATGGATACAGATTTTTGAAAAAAATAAGAAACAAGATTTGATACGATTTCAGGATTAAAAAGTTGTATATGGACGAATATTTGTTTTCCCCCACTATATATATATACAGGGTGTCCATAAAGTTTGTGTGCACTTTAAAAAAGTTTATAACTTTATTTGTATTTGCGATAGAAATAATCTATAAAAATGTTATAAAGTTTAATGTACCTAGTTTTAAGTATAGCTAAAATAACAGATGCCATTTCAGACATTACTGTAAATCAGTTGGCAAATATTTTCCGTGAACTGCAAAATCGTATTACCCTTTGTATTACTAATGATGGACAATATGTGGAAACTTAAATAAAATTTCAATAAAACCTTAGAAAAATATTTACTTCTTTCTAATCCTTTTACAAATTATTTCTATGGCAAATACAAATAAAGTTATAAATTTTTCAAAATGCACATGAATTTTATGGACACCTTATATATAATTAATATCAGTGGTTTAGCACTTAGTTGATTGATGTTACCTTCAGCATTCAGACTCCAGCATTTTGTAGGTTGATGTGTCCGTCCACTTTTCAGTGTGGATATCGACAATATATATATATATATATATATATATATATACGACTGATATATATATATATATATATATATATATATATATATATATATATATATATATCTGAGATGAGGTATTGTGTACATTATTTACATTATTCGGACTATTCTCCTCATCTTTGTCGCCATATTTATTACAACGTTTCGGTCGTTGTACGCTCCGGCCTTCTTCAGGTGGTTGGAATGTCAAACTGAACTCTTTATTTCGATCATTGGGGTAAACTGTTCTAGTTCCACGTGCCATGTTTTTTTGTTTTTGTTTTTTTTTTTTTAATGAATGTCAGTTATCAGTTATTTCCTGTTAATTTCCCTCTGAAAGTTCTCCACTGCCTTAGCCGGGTATTGAACTCACACTCTTTGGGCCCTGTCACTGGATCTAACTAACGCCTTTATCCACTGTGACATGTGACCATTAAAAAAAAAACATGGCACTTGAAACTAGAGCAGTCTACCCCAATGAGCGAAATAAAGGGTTCAATTCCACATTCCAACCACATGAAGAAGGCCGGACGTACAAAGGCCGAAACATTATATATATATATATATATATATATATATATAAACATGCTTTTTTAAAAAGAAACGGCTCGATTTGCCTGTTTTTTCTTTATTATTATGAAAATATTTATAGAAACGCCACACGAAAGATACGTTACGGCGGCGGGAAAGTGACTGACGCCGATATGACAGGTCAAGACCGATAAAATTGCAGAAAATATTATTATTATTTGGTCAAGACACGTGACACAAGCACCAGAGCAGATGCGCGACAAAATTCAATGCACGGACAAAAATCTCTATCCATATTTATTTGTTTAAAATAAGAAGAAAGGAAATTTGATTTCAGAATTAGAACATTTTTGTCAGTTTATGGAGAAAAAAGACCAAGATTAGAAGAAACTGAGTCAGCTTGTGCTTTTACCCCACTTTACTTTACTAAAATCCGTCGCTAGGGGATGCTTCTGAAACCTATAAAAAAGGAAATTATATTCTCACCCATTCTCTTTCCTTTTTTCTCTTAGACAATAAAATATAGTCTCACGTGGGAAAAAGTGTCCCTCCCCACACACACAAAGGGGTACGTTCATTTCCTTTTCAAGGTATTACTTTTCTCTATACAAACTTGATACACACAAACACATTCTCTAGTTTAAATTTTCTATGTAATTAGTCTTTAAATGTCGCCTTCTTTCATATTCATTGTATACGTTTTTAATACATACATTGTCGTTTGTTTTACTGTTTTGCGTCCATCAATTATTACTCGGACTCATATTCGAGTCTGCAATGATTATTACGGGAAAATATACCAGAAGACACGCGTTTTCTATGTAAACGTTGTTTGTATTCCCGAAACAAGCTTTTCAAATTCACTTTTCCAGCTTATAATTAAAGTTTAACTTTTAGACTTTCTCTCCGGCAAACAGACAATTCCTGAACTAAATCAAACACTATTAAACACGTCAATGCAAATGACTATTGATTACAAACAGTGGATTTTATTTTCTTCTTTTTCTTTCTTCACATTTGCTTTCTTTCTTTCTTTTTATCACTTTCTTCTTTAGAGAGACTTCTCTCTACCCACTCTTTATTTTACACACTCTTCTTTCTTTCTTAATTTTCTCTTTTTCCTTCTTTCATTTTTACCTCCTTTATTTCCTCTCTTTCTTCCTCTTTACCCACTTGTTTCCCTCTTCCTCTATTTTACTCCTTTTCTCTTTTTTCCTCTCCGAACGATATTTCGTGTCTTTCTTTCTTGATATTCTTCGTTTTTGTTTTCTACTTCGTGACTTCCATTCTCCATTTCTTTCAGGTTTTATTTTCTTAATGGCCGTTCAAATCGGCAATTGGCTCACAAAAAAATATTAATTAATTAATGAGTCGAAAAATACAAGATCCAATTTGGCTCTAATCACCCTCGTTAATTAGTAGAGGATAAAATAGAACATTCTGGAATCATGATTAGTAGCACTTGATAATTATAAATTTGTAAATATTTAAAATCAAATGAAAATCATTTCGTGAAAGTGGCGGGAAAATAAATTCTCACTTTTTCTCGTTGTTTGCTTTTGCGACATATGAATTTGTCCCGATTATACAGAACCAATTGCTTGTTCTGCTGCGAAGAAGTTTGGTCCACCATGTTGTGTGAGAGAAATTAACTTGCGCATTTATAAGTAAACCATTACTCCGTGCATTGAATATTCCCACCGCATCTGGTCTGGTGCTTTTGTCACGAGATACTTGACGAAATCCATAAAATAAACTGCAATTTTATCGGTCCTGACCTGGCATCTCGGCGTCAGTCACTTTCCCGCCGCCGTAACGTAGCTTTCCAGTGGCGTCTCTATATTTTCATGGCAATCTTTCTGATAAGTTTTCCTCTTCGGTACTTAGACTTAATGAATCTAAGCGCAGTACTAGATTGGCAGTTAGGTCCCATCATAAACAGTTGAACATGTTAATTGTAGCCGTAAGATCAATTCGTATAGTTTCTTCTCTCACACTCCCCGCTTGTAAAATACTCCTCCAGCCTCTTGCTTTCCAGTCAACTACGATCTTCGGGAATTTAAATGCAACACCAATCGTCAACTTCTGTCCTCTGGCATTATGTTATTTTGGCTCTATGTCAGTTTCCTTCCCACTCAGTAACCCCCACCTTTTTTGTCTTAGTGGCTTTATCGCCTTGCTTGGGGTGAAATGATTTAAAAAAGAATCTTTTGCAAATATTTTCTTTCTGTTCAGTACACTTTCCCTGCTTATTCCCCTGATAGTTTTTTTTTTCTCTGAAAACATCTTTTTTAGACCTTGTTGCAGTCAGTTTTATTCTTGTTCTTAGCAAATCTTTCAAATTCTAAAATCAAAAATGCGTTTATCTTCAAACGAACAAAGAATAAGTTATAAATAATATCAATAATCCTAGGAAAGTTAACAATTTCCATGGAAATCCCACCTTTTAGCTCAGGTCTGTCCATTGTCTCCATTTTGAAAGTATTTCTTTTCACAACGTCAAACTTTCACTTTGTAATTTTTACTTAAAGTTAACAGTTTGGTGACGTACATAGTTTTATCCGAGGTTCTTTTTTTTAATTAAAACGGGAGATAACCGCGGATTCAAATAATTATTTATAACTATTTATACTGGAACTCATGCGTGCAATTACAAGGAATCCATAATAATATTTTAAATTTTGAAATCATATTTATTTTTGGCATATGAATTTTTTTAAAACTATTTCTAAAACTTTGTCTTTCAATCATTCCGTCTCATCTGCTATCCTCTTGCGCCTCATCTGCTATCCTCTCCCGCCTCACCTGCTATCGTCTTCCGTCTCACCTGCTATCCTCTTGCGCCTCACCTGCTATCCTCATGCGCCTCACCTGCTATCCTCTTCCGTCTCACCTGCTATCCTCTTCCCCCTCACCTGCCATCCTCTTCCCCCTCACCTGCTATCCTCTTTCGCCTCAGCTGCTATCCTTTTTTCGACTCACCTGCTATCGTCTTCCACCTCATCTGCTATCCTCTTCCGCCTCGCCTGCTATTCTTTTTCGATTCACCTGCTATCGTTTTCCGACTCACCTGCTATCCTCTTCCGCCTCGCTTGCTATCGTCTTCCGTCTCACCTGCTATCCTCTTGCGACTCACCTGCTATCCTCTTCCGCCTCACTTGATATCCTCTTCCGACTCACCTGCTATCCTCTTCTGACTCACCTGCTATCCTCTTCCGCCTCACCTCCTATCCTCTTCCGCCTCACCTGCTATCCTCTTCCGCCTCACCTGCTATCCTCTTCCCCTCACCTGCTATCGTCTTCCGTCTCACCTGCTATCCTCTTGCGCCTCACCTGCTATCCTCTTCCCCCTCACTTGATATCCTCTTCCGACTCACCTGCTATCCTCTTCTGACTTACCTGCTATCCTCTTACGCCTCACCTGCTATCCTCTTCCGCCTCACCTGCTATCGTCTTCCACCTCATCGGCTATCCTCTTCCGCCTCACCTGCTATCCTTTTCGACTCACCTGCTATCGTCTTCCGAATCACCTGCTATCGTCATCCGTCTCAGCTGCTATCCTTTTCCGCCTCACCTATTATCCTCTTCCACCTCACCTGCTATCGTCTTCCGACTCACCTGCTATCCTCTTCCGCCTCACCTGCTATCGACTTTCGTCTCACCTGCTATCCTCTTCCGCCACACCTGCTATCCTCTTCCGCCACACCTGCTATCGTCTTCCGTCTCACCTGCTATCCTCTTGCGCCACACCTGCTATCGTCTTCCGTCTCACCTGCTATCCTCTTGCGCCACACCTGCTATCGTCTTCCGACTCACCTGCTATCCTCTTCCGCCTCACCTGCTATCGACTTTCGTCTCACCTGCTATCCTCTTCCGTCTCACCTGCTATCCTCTTCCGCCTCACCTGCTATCGTCTTCCGTCTCACCTGCTATCCTCTTGCGCCACACCTGCTATCGTCTTCCGACTCACCTGCTATCCTCTTCCGCCTCACCTGCTATCGACTTTCGTCTCACCTGCTATCCTCTTCCGTCTCACCTGCTATCCTCTTCCGCCTCACCTGCTATCGTCTTCCGTCTCACCTGCTATCCTCTTCCGCCTCACCTGCTATCGTCTTCCGTCTCACCTGCTATCCTCTTGCGCCACACCTGCTATCGTCTGCCGTCTCACCTGCTATTCTCTTCCGTCTCACCTGCTATCTTCTCCCCCCTCACTTTCTCTACTCTTCCGTCTCTCCTGCTATCCTCTTCCGTCTCACCTGCTATCGTCTTCCGACTCACCTGCTATCGTCATCCGTCTCAGCTGCTATCCTCTTCCACCTCACCTGCTATCCTCTTCCACCTCACCTTCTATCCTCTTCCCCCTCACTTGCTATCCTCTTCCGACTCACCTACTATCCTTTTTCGACTCACCTGCTATCACCTTCCGTCTCCTCTGCTATCCTCTTGCACCACACCTGCTATCCTCTTCCCCCTCACTTGCTATCCTCTTCCGACTCACCTGCTATTATTTTTCGACTAACCTGCTATCACATTCCGCCTCACCTGCTATCCTCTTCCCCCTCACTTGCTCTCCTCTTCCGTCTCACCTGCTATCCTCTTCAGCCTCACCTGCTATCGTCTTCCGTCTCACCTGCTATCCTCTTCCGTCTCACCTGCTATCCTCTTGTGCCTCACCTGCTATCGTCTTCCGTCTCACCTGCTAACTTCTTCCGTCTCACCTGCTATCCTTTTTCGACTCACCTGCTATCGTCTTCCGACTCACCTGCTATCGTCTTCCGTCTCACCTGCTATCGTCATCCGTCTCACCTGCTATCCTCTTCCGCCTCACCTGCTATCCTCTTCCACCTCACCTGCTAACCTCTTTCGCTGCCCAATACCGTTTAGGGAACCCCTAGATTAAGGTCTGGAGATGAGAGGTTTCATTCCATTAATTTGATGCCTTTGCAAATTGTCAGAGTTACAGAATATGAACAATGTTTTTCCATAAATGTCTTTCATTTACGTCTTCTTCGTTGTCACGTGATCCATTCAAAAAACATCTTGTCCACGATTTTTTAAATGTCTTTCATTTACGTCTTCTTCGTTGTCACGTGATCCATTCAAAAAACATCTTGTCCACGATTTTTCCATAAATGTCTTTCATTTACGTCTTCTTCGTTGTCACGTGATCCATTCAAAAAACATCTTGTCCACGATTTTTCCATAAATGTCTTTCATTTACGTCTTCTTCGTTGTCACGTGATCCATTCAAAAAACATCTTGTCCACGATTTTATAGTATATCTCTGCATTTATATTGACATCGCTATTATTTTTGAAGAGACTTATAATTTTGTTGCCTATAATACTAGACTAAAATATTACTCCTCCTCCCTACTGTTGTCTTCTAAGCTGGGTTAGTTGATTATTTCCATGGAAAACACACCATTTAAATCAGCCATCAGGTTTGTCCATTCTTGCTCTACAGTTTTAATGTATTTCTTTTCACAACATAAGCCTTTCACTTTGTGATGTTTACTTAAAGTTGACAGCTTGGTGACGTTCATGGTTTTATCCAAGGGTCTTAAAAATTAATTATCTGCACCATTTCTCTTTGTTTACGTTCGCAAAACGAAATTCTTCAAATATTTTCTTAACAGTCAGTTCACTTTTCTTGCTTATTACTCATAAATATTACAAATCTCCTTCAGCGACATTCTTTGTGCCAAGTTTTCCTCATTTCTATCTTAGCAATATTTTTATTTTCTTTATCTCATTTGTTCTATCATCTTTATTGAACGTTTCGCAGTTTCCAATGTATGCTCTACTCACTCGACATTTTTACAATATCTTCTTTGTCTTCTGTGATTATGTCTTCCTTACCAATTTTTATACAGGGTGTCCATAATGTTTGTGTTCACTTTAAAAAATTTATAACTTTATTTGTATTTGCGATAGAAATAATTTGTAAAAAGGATTAAAAAGAAGTAAATCTGTATTTTTTAAAGTTTTATTGAAATTTAATTTAAGTTTCCACATGTCCTCCATCATTAGCAATACAAAGGATAATACGATTTTGCAGTTCACGGAAAACATTTGCCAACTGATTTACAGTAATGCCTGAAAACACATTAGTTATTTTAGCGATAATTAAAACTAGGTACATTAAACTTTATAACATTTTTTACAGATTATTTCTATCACAAATACAAATAAAGTTATAAATTTTTTAAAATGCACACGAACTTTATGGACACCCAGTATATCGGAAATTAAAAATCAATTTCAAAAAATATTATTAGATACACAATATAATGAATAAAGCAATCATAGAATTATTATATAAATATACATTTATATACACACTCACACACACTCATATGTGTGTATGTGTATGTGTGCATGTGACTGAGTGGTTAGAACGCCCGTATTCTGACCATAAGACCCGGGTTCGAATCTCACCATGGTCAATTTGTCAGGAAGGAGACTTCCTGATGTTATCGGTCTGGAGGGGGGCGATCACAGCATGTGGCACTTTTTGGAAAGTGACTGAAAACCATACCATCGGTTGACCCAAGCCTTGTGAGTGAAATTGGGTATACAGAACCCTTGGGGACCTCGATAGCTGTGCTAGCACAAAGTCCCAAGTCATCGTGACCGAATGTTTGAATGTGCTGGCCTTTTTCAAATTGTTGAACACACTAGATAACAGGAGCTCTCCCAGTAACTGTAACTAAGGTCTGCTCAGCATAGTTGCAGCATAAATCACAGGTGGCCTCTGTGGGGGGTAAACAAACACAAATGTGCCTGAGCGGGAGTCTGCAATGGGGATTGGCTAACCGCCCTAATAGACGGGTATCCTCGAGTACAAGTGGCCAGCTATTATATATATATATATATATATATATATAGTTTCCGACGCATTTCGTCCGATGTGGACTTTTTCAAGGCAACTATTACAGTTTTCCTATTTTCTTTTACATTTATAAATATTGTCTTTTTTTAGAAGTTAACTCTGAGAAATTTTTCATATATATATATATATTCTCGGACATTCAGGCCTGTAAATTTTGTTAATAGTGTTTATTATAAACAGAGTATTTACTTAAATATTTGTATCCTTAAAAATAACGCATAAACAGAATATATATATATATATATATATCCAGGAAAGAATGCGCAGCTCTGAAAGGGTCTGCCCAAAAGTAGCCTGCCGGTATAAAAGTGCTCAATGTCATAAGAAATGACAAAGCTACGATATTAATTTAAAAACACGTTGGCAGTGAATGGCCATGACTATAAATTTCATGCGCTTGCGCACAATCATCAGGCAGCTAGTAATATTTACCGACCACACCACGAGATAGGATGTGTCATAGACATTTCCATAATCCTGCAACCATTTCTGTCACCTTATACCAATGTAAAACTATCCCTCAAAAATTGTATTAAAAATAAAACAAACCTAATTCTTTTGTAAATAAATTATAGTCATGAAACTTAAGGTTGTCTATTTTTAGTTATTTAATATTATATATATATATATATATATATATATATATATAAATATATATATATATATATAATTATTTATTATGATTCCAACTCGCGACATAAGAGGTCTCATGTTTCAAAACAAGAGCCGAAAACTTCAATATAATTATTTGAATTAAATTGAGGTAAAGTAAGCTCCGTTCCATCTTCAAGCGAAATTTTTTTTGGGAATAACATATTTCTGAAATTTACGTGTTTTAATAATTGGAATCAAAATTTCCATGGTAACAGCTAGGGCGTTTTTTTTAAATTGGGTAGACGTGTGTTGGGTGTTAATAATAAGTATCAGTATAGAGTGACTATCATAAATGTCAAGTCAGGGTAAGTTGGGGGTGTCTAAATTTGAAACGGAAGATGTTTTAGCCTAGTCTGGTTTACGTGTCTATGGAGATTTTTTTCTTCTTTAAGAAAGGGATTTGTGCATATAAAAAAAACTGCCGTAACATTTGTTTTTTGACGACTTCATAAAGGGTTATCTTTTTGTAGGGTATTTAAACTATTTATTTGGGCTATGGATTATAAAAGTTATTATATTGTATGCTTGTTTTTAGCTAATTATTCAAACCATGAATTTGATGATGTCGACAAAAAACCGTTAACTCGTGTTATATATATATATATATATATATATATATATATATATATATATATATATACATCAACAGGTTGACAGGGACTGGCCACTACTATATCTTTCATGTGCTTGCACACAATCATTAGGCATTTTTTTTCTTATAGTCATGGAAACTTAAGGTTGTCTATTTCTTAATTATTTAACTAATATTTGCTCTGATTTTACATTGAACTCTCTGGATCACATCCTCTTTGGAATTATCCCACGGATTACCAAACCCTTCATTTCCTTAATATATATATATATATATATATATATATATATATATATATATATATATATAATACAACAAATAGGAAACGCAGGAAATCCTAAGTCTCTATTTTTATTTTTTTTTTTACATATATTTAATATAAAATGCTCCGTTAGAAATTTTAATTACTTATAATAATGCGTGATTGTATCTGCCTGACGTAGCCGACTTCAATAATTTTAGTCTATTTTGGTTATTAAATCTATGTATTATTTTAGTGTCGTTTAAAAGTAACTATTAAACTATGGTCTTTTTGGTGCATATAAATCTGCTTTTTGGATAGTATTTTGAACTGATGAAGGCCACGTAAGCCTTCAGGAAAGTGTGCTTTTTATGTCAACGATATACGACAAATATTTTTTAAAGTGATACATACATTAATAATATAGGTTTAAAGAGACACTAGAATTAAATTACACCACCATACAACTCGAAATTTGTTAAATTGTTCTATTAAATTTTAGTATAACGTTGCCCTAAATATACATATATGTGTGTGTACGTAGCACATTCAGGACAACGGTATACTAAAATTAAATAGAACAAATTAAGAAATATATATATATATATATATATATTAAATAACTAAGAAATAAACAACCTTAAGTTTCAAGACTATAATGACGAACGATTGCGTCTGGCATGAAACAGCCTGTCGCCTCTAAGTGTGGACTTCAATCTCTGATATTGAGCATTTTATCCCATAAATATAACACACTTTAAGAGTATATTTCTTCATATATATATATATATATATATATATATATATAATTATTATTTATAAAAAAATTACAACATAAGTATGTTATAAAATCACTACAAAAATAGCCATTTTGTTTCAACACACTCTGTGTCTTATCAAGTGATGATGTTGAAGATAAAATAAATGGTTTTAAAAGTTTCAGATTAATTAACGATCCTACACTAGGGGGAAACATTGTTACAAAAGCTAGAATAACCAATCAAAACCAAGTATAGAAAGATTCAAAAGCTTGACAACGAAATCCTGCTATAATAGCTATTCAGATCTTTAAAATACGTGTAATATTAAAAATAATTTATACTAACCAATAATTATAAAATTATATGATAAAATTTAATATTAAAATAAAAACTGGCAATTTTAAAATCCAAATTTAATCACTATTGAGTTTAAAAACTACAAAATTATTGAGAAAAGAAAAAATATATGTTTATTCAATTCATTTCTTCATTGAAATTACTTTCGACAAGACGCTACAATATATCCGGTCATTTGACAATACATGTATATATATATTTTATTCTAAAGTGTGTGAATGTGGTCTTAAACTCACGCGCAAAATAACAAAAACACAATCAGAGTATAATACATAAGCACCCAAACATATTTAGATATATACACACACAAACACACACAAAAAAAGGCGACGAGACAGGAACATCTCTACAACCCTTT